TCCTTGGGAATTTCAGCTTGTGGAGCCTTTGAGATCACTTTACATTTTGTCAAGAAGTAGGTTTGAATAGTCACATTTTTAGTGGGTTTTTTAAACCCAAAGAGCAAAAACAAGAAAACACATGAACTTTTAATTTTCCCTCCTTATATTTTACAAAATCAAAACACATCTTTCAAGAGCCCTACCCCTTTGCTTTGACTTCAGTGGACTGGAATTGTCTACAGAAAACCCCCACAGCCAGATGATTTGGATTCCAACAGCTCTTCCGAAGGAGCTCAGACAAGCCACTGTGCCACCCTGCCTGATGAGCAGCCCTGCTGTCCTGGCTGGCACCTCCCTCTGCTCCCTCCAGCCAAGCTTCTGTGACAGTGTGCCACATAGCACCTCCACTGCCCTGACCACAGCACAGCCCCTTGTCCTCCACACAACCATTCACCCCAAAAGAATGGTGAGAGGAACAGAGGAAGCCAGCCAGTTTAGCCAAGGGGCCCCACGTCCAGTCTTTACTGGGCAAACAGTTTTTATTCAGGGCACAGCACCAGCAGCAGGACTCCAGGCTGACTGTCAGCCACGGGAGGATTTGCTTGGCCAGGAGGCAGCATGATTGCTCTTGCTGCTGTGAAAGGATGCTTGAGCCACCAGCTGTGGCACTGGTGGCTCTGCTGCCACCAGTGTTTCCCGGGAGGTGCTGGCCAACCACATGCCACTGCAGGTAACCTCCCTGCTACTTCATCTCTGCAAGTTTCTGCAAGCGGGGGCTCTAGTCTGACTTTGTCCCAAAATCTCTCATTGTGCCAGGGGTGTAGCTTAGCTCATATCCTCGGAAGCATGTACCAGCAGGGCAGCTGGCCCGCTCCCTGACAACTTCAGCAGAACAGATGCCAAATACGCAATTGCTCTGTTTACCTGGCCAAAGAGGCGGCCCAGCCGGAGCACCTGTGTGGGGCTGAAAGACACAGAGCTACGCACAGTCGCGACCCACTGACGCTGGCGGCACAAATACTGACAACTCGGCCACCTTCAGGAATGCAGAAGGAATCCTGGCCTGGAAGCATCTACCACCCACTACGAAAGCAAGTGGCTGTTGGAACATCTGAAGAAACAAGTTACCCACAATACATATGGACACCTGAACCACACTGTCATGTTTTTCTAAGTCATGTTTTTCTAATGTGGCTGCACTGCAGCTGGAGCGAAAGCTGGTCAAGGCTGGCGAGATCCTGCCCATGACATCAGGATACTGACCCTGGGAACAGAGCTGGCTCACCTCGCTCAGGATGGCACCTCTGTACCCCAAACTCAGCCTGACTTTGCAAATGCCACAGCTTTTCTCCAAAGGTATGGCGGAGAGCTGGAGAAGCCTGCAGGAGAAGTCAGGCGCGGGAAAGATAAGGCAGTCTTGAGACAGGCTAGAGTTTGTGTGCCAGCAGCCGTCCTGTACCTCCATCCCAAGGCAGCTACAAAATCAGTCTTTTTCCTTCCCTCACCTCCAGGTTTTGACATATTAGCACAACACTTTGCCAAGTGCTTTAATTAGGACCATTCTTCCCAAGAAACAACTGCACAGGTGAGGCTTTGAAACGCTGAGCAATGAGCAGAGCAGCCTTCGTTTTTCGTATTCTATCCCATTAACCCATCCCCAAGATAGGGCTGCTTGCTAATTGTGGGATATGCATAAAACATCACGACTCTCACCACATCCACACCCGAGGTTATTCAGTATGACGCTTTTAACAGAGCCACCACCCGCCCAGGACAGGGCGCCTTTTAACGCACTGGGCATCAGACCGCGCTCACGCCGCTCCCGGGACGAGCGAGCCCCAGCTCTGGGTGTTCTTCCCGACCGCCGTAACAAGGGCACAGGGCCCGCCCCAGCGCTCCGAGCGAGCGCCTAACGCCGAGGAGGGGACTGCGGGAGAAGGGATTCCTGCAGTGCCCCTCGCTGCGGCTCCCGGGACCCCGAAAAGTTTCCCCGTAGAACAGACACTTCACAGGGGGAGCAGCAGGAACACCCTGTACGGCTGCGGGCCTCCGTCCCCTCGGCGGGACCCCAGCCCGACCCCGCCGGCGCCCGCGGGAGCAGCGGGAAAGCGCCTTTCCCGGGCAGCAGCCGGTGACAGCGGCCCGGCCGACACAAAGCGCCGCCCTCGGCAGCCGCCCGCCGCGGGAGGCGGGACGGGACGGCGCGGGCGGCCCCTGCGCCTCTCCTACCTGTTACAGTTGATCCCCGCCGCCGCCGCGGCCGCCACCCCCAGCATCCCGGCGGCCGCCGCTCCCGCCAAGCGCTCCCCACCGGCGGCGGCGGGGGGGGCGCGCTCCGCCCGCGCCGCGCCCCGCTGCGCCCCCGCGCGGGGAAAGAGGGGAAGCACCGCCGCGAGATCCACCGCCCTGCCCGGGAAAGAGGGGAGGCACTAGCGGGATATGGGATCTCCCCGCCCTGCCCGAAAAGGGAACGGGAGTCACTGCCAAGAGCTGGGGTCCCCCTGCCCCGTGTGCTTCCCGCTGGACCCGCGGGAGGGATCGTTCCTCTCCTGGGTCAGCCCTGCGGGAGATGCGGCGGCCGGAACGCCCCGCAGAGTTATGTGAAATAGGTGCCTGGGAGCGGCTGTTGCTGGTTTTGTGTATTTCGGCTTCTTTTTTTCTTCTTCTTCTTTTATTTTTTTCTTTTTCCATAACCGAAAATTGCCGTCAAAACAATTCCAAGTATTTTCACCGTTTCCTATACGCGGTTGGGTAGTGCAGGATAATTTGTAGCAAGAAAGCTGTCGCCACACCTTGGGGCGCCAAATATGCTTAGGTGAGTCCGGAGTCCGGTTTAGAGAAAGGCTAGCTCCTCGCTCAGGCTCAGATGTTTATGAAGTAAACGTAATAAAGTTACCTCCAACGCTGCCAAACCTGGGGCCAAACCTTCCACTTCACTTGGAGAGAAGTGACCCCACTCCAAATCAGGGAAGGTTCAAAGGCAGACTACGGACAGATGAAAGGAGCATAATAGAAAAGGTGGTATTATTGAGCTGTCTGTATCGCCAACCATTGCCATCCTTAATATCAGAACAAGAAAGTGGCGGGTTGCAATGAAAAATGCAAATATTTGCCTGCCAGGATTAAGGAAATATCTATATGGCTCCAAGAAGACAGCTCAAAGGAATATATTAAGCCAGTGAAGATCAGCATAGAGGGGGATGAGTGAGCACAGATCAGAAAAAATAATTCAAACATGGAGCAATCTACTTTGGTATCCATCAGAACCAGGAAAGGAATGTAATTTTTGGGGACTATGATGCACAAAAGGTATTTGATGGTGGTGCCAGAAGCATGGTTCTAGATAGGACTACAGCTTAGAAACTCAGACTGTCTGTAGTACTTTTGTTTATTCGTTATTTTTCTCCTTGACAGGGTTCAGTTTTGCTTGCCAAGACGAGGAATCAAACACAGCAAGACTTTAGCATCACAGAGAATACATTTCTGCATAAAGAGGAAGATAGAGTATAAAGGGAAGGGATGATTTGCCAGAAGAGGGGGATGTGATCCTTCTCCTTTACTCAGCATTGGTCAAGCCACACCTGGAGGGCTCAGCCCAATTCTGGGCTTTCCAATACAAGAGAGACATGGACATATTGGAAGAGCCCATCAAAGGGTCACTAAGATTATCTAGAGATTAGAGCACCTCTCCTGGAGAGAGACAGAGAGCTAGGACTGCTCAGCCCAAAGAAGAGAAGGTTCAGAGACATCTTACCAATTAATAAAAAATATCTGAAAAGAGAGGGTAAAAGGAGGACTATGCTAGTGTATTTTTCAGTGGAATCCAGTTACAGGAACAGAGGCAGGGAAACATACTGAAACATAGGAGGTTCCCTCTCAACATCAGAGAAATTTTTGCTGTGAGAATGACTGAACACTGGCAGAGGTTGTCTGTGGAGGCTGTGGAGTCTCCACCGTTGAAGGTACTCCATAGCCATATGGATTCGGTCCTAGGAATCTGGCTGTAGGAAGCCGTGCTTGAACAGAGAGGTTGGACAAGTGACCTCCAGAGGTACCTGCCAACCTCAACAATGGTGTGATTATGTTGAAAAACCAATCACACCAACCCCCCCCATTAAAAAAAAAAAAACAAACAAAAAAAAAAAAAACCACAAAATAACCAAACCCAACCCCCAAAAAACCCACCCATTTTAATGAGCCTATCAGTAAAGCTTCCTTATATCACCTAAATAAGTAAGTACTCATTCTGTGCCAGCTGAAGGTAATACAACCTTTAGTTTTTTTCTAATCTGCTTTGGGCAGTCTGCCATTACTTGTACAGTCTGGCATTGCTTGTAGGCAGCTTCATGAATGTCTTTAATTAACCTCAGCTTGTCTGCGAGGATTTCAGGCTCTCTCTCATTGCTGATCCTCCTGGGGAGCTGTATGAGGTGGCTGTCCCTGGCTGCTAAAGAGCAGCACCTCTGAGCAGCACAGCCTGAAAGGCAGGGAGGTGGCTGGGCAGGTGTGCAACTACCAGGGCCGCAAGCTTCAAACCAGTAAATTCTGGAAATAATTAACAGGCAGCGCCAGCCAACAAGCGCAGCCGTTGTGGCGCTTCCTTTGGAGGGCACTTTAATGGATTTAACAGCAAGTGAATTGCATCATGTACAGTTTTCCAGGGCCTTTAAAGATGAAATCCCTAAAGCCTGGTCTGCTAGCAATATAATCTCAAAGTAGCAAAGGCATTCTCACAGAGAGTGGGAGAGCCTTCCCCAAACATGTACAAATGCCAAACACTAAGTACTAGCAGCTTTTGGAAACGCTAAGTACCAAGAAAAGCCAGGAATTCAGTTTCACAGTTTCCCTCCCCAGACTGTCTGCACTTTGCAGCAAATTTGCGCCCTGGGGGCTGATTTAAATTTTTGTTTTGTCTTGCTTTACAACAGAAATAACAATTCTTAATTGTTATTAATTATCCATTACATAGTATTAGACCATACTGGCATTCTAATTAACTTGTAAAATTCAGTCCAGAATACTTAAGCAAGTAATTTAATAGGATTCACAAAACACACACCACAGACTCGTAAGGAGATCATTCCTTCCATTCCAGTATAATGCAGACTATGACAATTTTCTTCCTATGGAGTTTAAAGAAAATATGGTAATCTGCCTACTTATTTCAGCTTACAAACCCATCACAAAGTTTAACATTCTGCTGCTAATGCACTTGGCATCAGGTACAGAAGTGCCATTATCCCCAGCAGGCAAGTCAGGAAATAGAGACAGAGACTCTGAAATTAAATTCACAAAGGAAGTGTGTGGCAAAACAGGGAATTTGGACTCCATGTCTCCAGACCAGCATATTAATCACAAAATTAATGCTTTTTTTTTTTTTTTTTTTTTTTTTTTTTTTTTTTACTCTCATCTCTCCCTTTAAGACCAGAGTAAAATGCAGTTTTAAGTAGGCATATGATGTTCTATTTCCAGACTACTTTACTTTTATGATTTTACCAGAGTTGTATGAAGAGACCTGAGTAAGTAACTTCTAACTGTGGTATTTGCTCAAGCTTTTGCTTTCTTCACGCAACTGCAGATGGTAGATTCATAGAATGGTTTGGGTTGAAACATCAGGGACCTTAAACACAAACAGGGATGTCTTGCACTAGACCAGGTTACTCATCCAACCTGGCTTTGAATACTTCAAGGGATGGGACATCCACAGCTTCTCTGGGCAACTGTTCCAGGGCCTCACCACCCTCGGAGTAAAGAATTTCTTTCTAATATCCAATCTAAGCCTATTCTGACTCTGAGAGCCTGCTAGCAGAGCAGCCTTATGGTTGTTCACCTTAATATAATCAATGGATTTAAATTGTAAGCTGTGTCGGTGTTCATGTCACACCTCCAAAGCTATGAAGCTAAAGCAACAGTGAAGGAAATGTAAGTAGGAATAACTTTTGAACATGTGTCTAGCTAAATATTTCAGCAAAGCTGTTAATGAATTAAGAGGTGAAAAATTATTTAGGTTTCACATTTTTGCTCAACATTATTAACTCCACTAATCAATTGAATAAATAAATTTTGACCACTATTTGATATCTCTAAAAAACATTGCTATTATTAAAAACAATATGTAGTTTGATCAGAATACTGGAAGACATTTTACTGATCATTCTGACATCCATATAAAAGCAGTCAGATTTCTGCTTCATGCATTTTAGACACACCTAGTATATTCAGCATCATTTTTTCTTGGAAGAGGGAAGGAGACTGCAAAAACCAAGGACATAAATTTTATTGATCAATCTAAAATTTCTGCAAAATTGATCAATAAATGTCCATATTTAGCAGCATAAATTTCTGCTTCATGACATGATCAGCACTTGTGCAGACACAGTAAAGGCTAAAGAAAAAACTTACGGCAGCACCACAAAACAGGTACTTTAAGAAATAATGACTCTTGGAGTTCATGGTATTACTCTCACATTTTTTATAGTAAAAGTGTGTAATTTTTCTACTTCAGACTTTTTGTCACTGCAATTCCCATCTTTCCCAGAATGTTACAAAACCTATCCTTAGCTTTTCTACGTTTTCTGAAAATCTCTTCCTGCAAGATATCCACTATCCCCCACCACTGCAATCAACTGGTTTAACCAGTTTCCAAGAGAAAGGCTGGTGGGTAGTCAGGGCAGGGACAGAGAGCTGCCACGTCAACAGCAGGAGCTGTTTAGGGTTTTTATCCCCACCATCTGCTTTTATCCTCCTTGCAGAGGCTGTAGCCCATGCCCCTGGAGCAGAGGGACCACCCACCTGTCCCCTTGCAAAGGTGGGCAGCTTCACCTGGACTGCTACAGCTGCAGGTTTAAGCCAGTGCTGGGACTAGATGTGAGAGGAGCATTAACTACTCTGTATAAAGAAGTGGATGCTGAAGCCAAAATGATGCGATTGGCCTTCTCCCTTGGCAAGAGTAATGCTGAGCATCAGCAACTTAACTCCACAAAGGGGAGTAATAACAGTAAAACAGCATTTGCGTAAAAGCCTTTTTCTGAAACTCTATAATGGTTTCTATGCTTTTTATTTTTGAGATGCTCTGCATGCTGCAAAGGGCAAGAGAGCCAAGAGCTAGTATGTACCTCCCCTCAGGAAACAGTCTGAGTGTTCTCAGAACAAGCTTCGATTTTCAGGCAATGAAACAATAAACCCCACTTAAATCCTATGCTCGTACACAGCTGCTATCATGTGTCTATCAATTTAAAACACTTTCAAAGGCTGCTGTGGGAGGACTGGGACTGTGCCCACACCCAAAAGAGAACACTAGTTTTGACACTCATTACATTTACCTTGGATTCTTAAGAAGCCTTTAGGCATTCAACTGACAGTGAAAAAAAAAATTGCCAATACCAAGGCATGCTGATTTGTTGGAGCAGTAACTGATGTTCATTTCCATACTTGTTTTACTATTCTCAGTCTTCACTATTCAATCCAGCCTGAATCTTCAGAATGAGCCTGAGAAACACAGGACAGGAAGGAAAGGAAGGAAACACCTGAATCTAAGATAGATCTTCTCATCCTTTCACAACCATATGATAAATTTTAACCAAATTCATTTAAAAAGTAGTGAGATTATTATTTCCCTTCCCCATAGCATATATAAACTCATGTGAAAGCTGTTAGAAGTTGACTGGCAGTACCAGGCTCTCTTTTTTGACCCTTATATCCACTTATTATGTCTTCTTTGCACAGCTTATGATCCCATCTCTGACCACATATTTCTGTAATAAGCATGGTCTAAGAAAAATTGTTGGCAAGAAAATAAACACACCAAACTCTTGCTTAAATCAAACCAAGCACCTCTTCATCCACTTAGCATGTAATCTTTGCACTAGGACAATTATGCAGATTAAGAAAAATTATCACAGCCTATTAGAGAAGAGGTAATTATGGCCATTTCAAAGCTGAGTGCAATTAGAAATGCGTGCTGATTTATAAGGTAGTTAGTACTCAAACACACTAAATGCAATCCTGCTAATAAGGTCATTAGCAGCTTCTGCAACCCTCCTCTCCTTCACATCTAATATTGTCAGATTGCTGGTGACAATCTAGTAATACATTTGAAGTCATTTAAATGAGCTTTAAAATTTTTTTTTAAACCCTAGAACAAACCAATTTCTCTTCTGTTCACCCAGAAGAATCCATTGCTGTAGTTGCCTTCCAAAGTAGAGGCTCTGGATACTACACCAGATCCATAAAATCTCTTCAATACAATGGTAGACAGTTCTTGTTTTCTACCTTGCACCTGAGTAGCATTTTCTCAGGTAAGAACAAGCATTCATGGAAAAAAAAGTCACTCTGTTGCATAAAGGTGAATTTTATTGATGTGATGGCCACATGAAAAGGCCACCAGAAACGTATTTCCAAACAAAATACTTATCTATCAGTCTAGCAATTCTGAAATTACTACAGCAAATATATTTTTATCTCTTCATACATTTGGTTTCTCAGCTTGTGAGTGGTGACTGGTATTTGCAAGGCTTCTAAAGGGATATTTTCACAGTACCAACAATAGTAGAACTAGCAGATAGTTTAGGAAGTATTGGTGCACTGGGTGAAGCTAAGGCATAAGCCAAATGAAGCATATATGTTTAAACTGGCTTCAAAGTCACTTAGTACAAAGTAAGGAGAATTTTTAGGCATTCCTCCACAATTTCATAATATATCATCTCTTATCACAACAAATAGATGGAGGGAGATGGACGAAGGAGAATTTAAATTTAGAAAATAATATAACCGTGTAACCTCACAGTTCTACTTTGGGGAAGGAGGGTCATGAAAGAAAAAAAGCAACCTTACTCTCCTGTGTATAATTTCTAACATGGTTCCCTTTGGCCATCCTGAACCCCGGATTCAACTGGCCATATCTATACAACAGCCTGACAAGTTCTGATCTTCCTGTCTTTCAGCTGGAGCACTTTTGCTTGCACAGATGAGTCTCCCTTCTGGGTAAAGGGAAAATGAAAGACAGATAACCCATTTCTAAGTCAGCATTAGATAGCTGAAAATTCAGCCACAGTGCAGGTCTGGTAACACTGAATCACTCTCATTTTTGCTTTTTGCTTAATATATAACCTGTATAGTGACAGCAGAATTACTATTATTATTATTATTATTATTATTATTATTATTATTATTGCTTCCTTATGCTTAGGCTGAAGGCAGGCTGTTAAAAGATAAAAATTGGTCCTAAGCTTATGAACATTTTGTGTAAGGGTGATATTTTCTGTGAAACATTCTAATAGATGTGGCACTGTAAAGAAAACAAAAAGAACCAGAAAGCAAAGTCAGCACAGTGCTCTTCCAAAAAAGAGCATCATAGTATCACAAGAAGTAGCAGTACTAGTTAAAACCTTAAACTGCTTTTTGAAAGCAAATCACAGCTACAATGCTGTACATTAAAATGCAAATATATGACATATAAAAAGTTCTCTATGCAAAATAATCCTGTTTCCAGTTCATGTTCTTCTATGCCATTTGCTCAAGTGTCTGTTAAACTTTATTTTCTTATAGTCAGTTTATTGCCACATAGGTAAGTTCTGGCAATCTTAACAACAGAAAACAGTTTAGTGACAGTTATTAAAATATTTTTACATTAATTAAGATCTCTATCTTTCATTGTAAAAAAAATATATTAATGCAAGTTGTTCACCCCATTCATAAGTACGGTACTCAAGTTTTACTAAAAACAGTGAGCATGCAACTCAGACTTGAAAGAAGTCAATAAGCAACTGGTATTTCATACAGCCAGTGATATATGTTACTTGCACACCTTTATTCACAGCTTACAATGTTCAATAATTTACAGTTCTGAAATATGTGCATTTTAAGAGGAACTTGTCACAGCTCTTAAGCAATAGCAGAAATCAGGTCAGCAGCAAACAGAGTGTGATCTAAGTGAGACAAAGCCATACCCTTCTACTCATGTGCTTCCGTTGTTAAAATCACAGCAGGATGACTAGCACTTATTTTTATACGTTTCCAATCTCTCCTATTGCTGCTTTGGCATTTTTCTGAATAACATTAACCAAATCCAGGTGAATAAGGAGTTGGAATCCAGCATCTGAGATCTGGTCCAAATCATTCCAAAGGCAAATGCAAGAAAGTCTAAACACAGCCTTCTGTTTGCTACCTACAGACACCTAAAAGACTTGTCCTTCACACTACTGTTGATCAGTTCTGTGTTCTGAAAGCTCCCAGAGGATGTTTTCCCCAGTAGCACAAACCATAAAGGTTCCAGTTAAAATATATATTGGAGGGGAAGAAAATAGAAGTGCCTAAGACAGTGAAAAGGAATTAAAATACCTAAATAAAGCCTGCTGGCTTTGTTGATTGTGTACTGAAATAGATACAACAAGCAAAAAATTAAACCAAAGGCAAACTTACAGAATAGTTTATTCTCAATATGTTGCCATTCTGCTGTTCATATGTTCAGATTAATCTCAGCCTGAAATAAGGCAATATTAAAGGAAAAGCATCATTTCCTCAGAGCTAAGGTAGATAGGAAAGGAAGAACCCTATTCAGTATCTGTATGGGTACCAGGGAAAGACTCTCTGTAAAACAACACAGAGAATAGGAAAATATGAGTGAAAAAGACAGAAGGACTCTGGTTTAAACATAAGCAGGATTCAAACACATGCGTATGCTTTTTAAAACCTTCCAAATAAATTAAGATGGTGAAAGGCATTATGGACTGTATAAGGGAGAAGACAACTGAAGATAAAAAGAGGTGCTGTGTTGATAATAGAAGAAGAGATGGTAGAAATTTATTTTTCTGGGGAAAAACCTATAACATTCTGTTGAGTAACCTGGAACAGAGACCATCTCATCTGTGCAAATATCTGCGCAAACATTGTACACACACACACACACAGGTAATGGAGAGAATAAGATCTTCACTCATTAGAACATTTAGAAAATGCATCTATTGACAAAAGCTTCATTCTTTTCTCTCAGAAGTTAATGTTAGGAGTCTGACCTGTGGGCTCAGATTCATTCTTTAGTGTCTTCACTATGACTAAGTCAGTACGAGCAGTCTTGTCATGCATTTAGAGACATTGTTACAGTAATGGAACATTTCTTCCTGGTCTTTTCCACAAGCTTCCAACCTCAGATTAAAAAGCCCTAGTTTAAGCTCTTTCTCACAAAGCCCCTCAACTCACTTAGGACCTCTGAGTCTTGGAGTACTATCCTAAGGCTTCCATAGATGCCATTAATCTCTACTACAGTACCATGCCCAGGTGTGACAAGCACTGCATTTCATACAGATTTGCACCCTCTACATTTTGTGAACTGTTGCCTTCATGTTTTGCAAAAGCAAAATAATTTAAGAAAGACAACAACTTTAAAGCAGAAAATGCCCTTTCTGTTTCTTAATTATCTTACCTATTGTAGCCATCACAAGAGAGGAAATTTCTTAAATGTGCAGAGAGTAACACTAACCATATAGATTAGCTAGCTGACAGTGATATGTGAAAGCAACTGTAAACACTTTTAAATGCTTAAAATCTAAACTCTAGTTATTCCAGTTAATATAAGGTCAAACTTTTAAACTGATATCAAAAGAGTTATCACAGGTTGACAAATTCTGTTTCCAAGCTATTTGCAATGAATTTTTCACTTCTCATAGTTCTTATTATCAGCTTTAATATTTACAAGAAAAATAGTTCACTGCTGCCAGAGCATAACATAGGACCATCTTTCAGAGCTACTGCAGGCTTCTTTCTTGGTGGAGCCTAAAAAGCTGAAAAAAACCCACAAAAATAAAACCCTGTAGTTCAACACTACAACACCAACAGATCTACAGTAAGATTTCTCAGTTTTGCAGTTGTGGAATGTTTTTAAAGATTCAGTATTTCCACTGTTTTATCGAAGTCCTGACCAGCTGTGGAGGTACGAAGCCCACCCAGAAGGCCGTGAGGTACTCTCTTCTTCACCTGAAGGAGGAAGAAAAGCAGACTTTATATTATGTTAGACATTTATTATGTTAGACAGTGCATTGTTTGGTTACATATCCTTGCCCCCATTCCTTGCCTTTATCCTTTTTCAAATGCTCCCTAAAGCTTCGTGAGAGAGGAATTCACTCTTGGGCTGACATAGACATGGATTGTACCACCAAGTCCACTTTACTTTGGGTACTTAAGAATGCAAGCTTCGTGAGAAAGGAATTCACTCTTGGGCTGACAGACATGGATTGTACCACCAAGTCCACTTTACTTTGGGTACTTAAGAATGTCTGAAAAAGGTAGTTAAGCAACATCCTCCAGAAAAATCCAATCAGTCTTCATTAGAGGGCCAGAACAACATCAACATGCTATGAACTTAACTTACATCTTATTTTTCCAAATGCACAGCCTATCATGGAATGCAATACTTGAACACTTCCCTTTTTAATGCTTTTGTTCATAAGTTTTAAGTTCTGATACGTACATGTGTTGCTTACTGTTTATATTAATTCTAAGATAAAGTATATTTCAGTTGCTAATGAAGTACAAGAAGCTACAGTAACTACCATTGAGAAGTGACAAACAATACCTTAAAAAGCATTTAAGGGAACAAATGCTGAGAGTATTTGAAGCAGAAACAGAACATTATTGTACACAGAAATCCAGTGCTTATTTTTTGCAAATGCCCAACTCTTTTTATGTCCTTCCCCAGTTACTTTATTTCTTCAATGAAGAGTGTATTTAAGATATCTTTAAATGTATTATATTGAAACTAATATTACATCTGCAGTACTGTCTTGAGAGAACAACTTTAGCTATCTGTCTAGAACATCTGCCAAGAAAATAATTCAATGATGTAAACATCTATTTTGACAAAATTTTTAAACTCTACTCAAAACATGAACACATTAAATTTTTCAACTTACCACTGTCTTCCTAAAATGTGAATGTTTCAGTAGAAATTATATTTTATGTCAATTTTATGGTATTTGTTCTGTTTATTGAAAACTGCATAGTAACTTCCTAACAAAGAAAATGGTTTTCTGACTAGTTCATTGGCATTATGATACTAAGTTTTGTTTTTTCTCAAAGGTCTACACAACAGACAGCGCAGAACTATCCTTTTCCTTTTTCACTTTTCCTCTTTTTTGTGACAATATTTTGAACACCACCTACCTTGGGCAATTGCTACCAGCTTCCCCTTCTCTTCAGGGCTGAGTTGCAACATGGTGTCTATTACTGGGAGCAGCCGTTCCTTCTCACTTCCTGATTTCAGAAATATGAACTGCAATAGAACGTTCTTCAAGTATTCTAGATTAGCCACAGACTTTTCTCTCTCTTGATTTCTTTCCAATCTTCTTATTTCATTCTTAAGAAGCTGCAGATGAGGAAAAAAATATGTAATACTGCTTGCCTCACTTAGTGAGTAATTGAACAAAGGTCTTTTGAAGAGCTAAAAAATGAATTATGCAGCTTGCTTCAAAAAGAATAATTCATGTTTAGCAACATATTCAGGACAAAAATTCAGTGAAAATTAAATATGTGATAATGTTGTAAGAAGTAACTTATTGACTAAAAATGCCCTTTTTGGATAAAATTTGTGCAGTATAGTGATACAATATCAGTGATATAAGAGTAGTAACAGTGGAACAGTTAAGTAACTCAGATATCTGATGACATCAATTTAAAAGTATTTTACAAAAGAAAGCATAGTACATTTAGAAATGTCTTCAGAAAGCCCATTGATACATTAGTTCATGTGTCTTCTTTTAACTTAAGACAGCTAAAACAGGCTACAGAAAGAGAAACCAGACAATGTTTCCCTTGGGATTTACTGCTTTTATCTAAGTGAAAATAGTACAGACTCTTTACTAAACATTAAACTTCCCAACTCCTGAAGTTTTTTTCTAGAAGCTTTTACTCCTACACTCCTCTCCTCCTTCCCCTCAGCCAACCAGAAACTGTGGTGGAAAAAAACCCAAAAAACTGAAGTATACTCTGGAAGCACTAATTAGACCTGTGGAATAAAAGCCCCCCCCAAATTAAGTTTTACATCACCAAAATTTTATAGACTGGAATTTTCTGAAAGATGTTTGGTCTAAGAAACAGACCATGGAAATTAGAGCTGTCCTCACATCTCTTGTGTGTCTGCTAACCTTTATTTGTTCCATTAGGATTGCATTGGTTGCTTCTGATTCACGAAGTAATTCATTCAAGTGATCAGCGCTCTTAGTTGTTGTGTTTAGTTTCTGAATCAGTTCATCCTTGGTGAGATCTGCTTGCCACTGAGATGGTTCTGCAATTAATTGGAAAAGAAAACTAAGAGAAGGAAAAAGCACTTGCATCTATTTCATACTAACTTAACATCAGGGCTTGACTAATGTAGTTTCTTATGAACAGAATTCATGGGAAGTCAGAGTGCAGAGTTAACAGGCATCAATGCTGTTGCTGCATGCTTATTTTCTGATCTATTTCTGTTTATATATTATAAGGTGGCTGGCAAAATAGTTCTAGAGTACCTCAAGATACCTGGTTTTAACTTATTCCTTGTTTCCTACCCATAAATGGAGATTTTCAACATTTATCCATGAAGTGTTCAGTAGACTCTGAAAACAGGATTATATGCTACTATGTATTTTTCTGGTTTTGGAGGACTCCTAAAATATTCTTTTTCATGCTGGATTACACTTTCCTAGAAAAAAAAACTTATGAATAAAGTACTGTTCTAATAAGCCTCGTTAAGATAAACAGAAATTTTATCCTTTTACTAACAGGGTTAAATGAGCACTACTAGCGCTGATTTAACACAGTCCCTAGTAGAGACTTATTCAGAATACAAAAATTTCTGTAACTATTCACTGACTTGCTCACCTGGTCTTTTCCCTTTAAAAGCTCAGAAATATGACATCTTTAAATCACTAAAACCTGTAGAAATGTCCTACTGTAAGTCCTTATTCAATGACAAAACTCCTACAAAAGTTCAGGACAGTGTAAACTCAGTGGCACTTGACTAGACTTGTGTCTTGCACCTAAAAGCATGAAAACACAATGCTCTAAAATATTTTGAGGGCATGAACTTCTGCAACCTATGTAGGCAAGCACTTCTGAAAGCCACGCCCTACCTACCAGGCTTTGCTTCTGGTGAGTTCAGCAGTTGCTCCAAGGATTGAACATAGGTGCTGGCTGAGGACACAGACTCCGTGTCTGTTGTTTCCATACCTTCTCCCTCCTCCCTAGCCACAGAGTGCACATCGAGCACAGGAAGGTCAGTGCTCCGCCGCTCTCTCAAGCTCTTTGTTGCCGGATTTGAAACAGCTGGACCTGGAAGATACTTACTGATGTTCACAGCAGAATGAAATTGGGCTATTTCCTACGTGTGACTGCCAGGGATCGAGAGTGGTACATAAAATAGCCTTCAAAATGCCGGGGAAGGTGAAGCCAAAAGAAAAAGCCAGATAAGCATGTAACGTTTATAATACTAAAATACTGTCTTTCACCTCCAAATGGCCATTCCAGTCAAAGTCTGGTTCTAAACAGAAACTTGATTGGCAATTTTTATTTCAGTTACTATGAAACCTTCATGCACATCTCCCTGAATATGTGTTTTAGTTATGGTAAGAGTAACAAATACCTTTAATGCAAAACAATTTGCTTTTGTTTCAACCAGTCCTGTGGGAGGTGTAAATTCTTCTGTTTTATTACTGTGTGCATGACCCTTCTACTTCAATAATAACAGAGCAACTTAAACTGCTACTGCTGCTTGGCAAATGTCCAACTACATCCTGATTAGTAACTTTACAGTTACAAAAATAGCACTTGAGATTGAAAGAAGGATCAAACAGCAAGTATAATAAACAGCATGTATACAAATAACATTCTTAAAACAGTTTCCAATACACTTTTCTTTAGTTTTACACTTCATACTTGAGACAGATCTCCAGCATGCTCCAAAACCTGAGACAACATGATAAGAAAAACAAGTATTTTCAAAGTAATTTCCCTTCATCTGTCTGATACTGCAGAATAAGTATCAGTCGTGCAGATTCTAGGACAAAATAGTTCCAGTTGGAAGTGACCTACAACAAGTATCTAGTCCAACTGCCTGACCACATCAAAAGTTAAAACATTATCAACGGCATTGTCCAAATGCCTCTGTTTTGGCCATCAATCACTTCAATGGGAAGCCTTTCCAGAGCATGACCACCCTCTCAGTAAGAAAATGCTTCCTAATGTCCAGTCTGAACCTCCCCATGGCAGCTCTGAACCAATCCCATGTCCTATTATTGAATACCAGGGAGAAGAGCTCAGCACTTCCCTCCTCACTTCCCCCACTCAGGAATCTCTAAAGCAGACATGAGGTTGCCCTCAGACTGCTTTCCTCCAAACCAGACCAACTCAGAGTCCTCAGCTGCTCCTCACAGGACAATCCTTCCTGCCCTTCCACCACCTTTGCTGCCCTCCTCTGGATGTACTCCAGAGGAATATATTCCTAAGGACCTTATGATTCTGAAGCAACAGTAAATAACAACAAACATGCATTCCTGACGTGGTATCTGTGGACTGATACACCACATTGCAGATTTCCCAGAAAAAGTTGCTGGTGATTTTACAGAATCAAACACTGTAAGCACATTTTAGTTTCAGACTGAGGTACACAAATTGGTAACTAACCCATGAAAACCTGGTATTCTGCCTGGAAGTTACCTCTAGTGCTTGGTTCACTCTTGAGTTGGAAGAGCTGAGCTTCTACTCTGGAGAGTTGCTGCTGAAGTGTCTCTACTGTCTTCCTGTGCTCTTCTTGCAGGTTCCTGACCTGATCTCTGAAGTTGTTCCGGAGAGCTTCATTCTGGGCTGTCAGCTGACCCAGAGCCTGGGCGTGCTCTGCTTTGATGACCATGTTCTCAGACTGTATTGTGCAGAGTCTGAAAACAGTGCATGCACAAACACTAAGACACAAGCAGCAAAACACTCTAAGTTTTACATTTCAAAATTTTTACAGTTTGAGGCAGTTTTCAATTTTCATGTGTATGATTATCTTAGAACCACTATGTGTGCAACTTTTTGTCATTTAAAGTCCTCTCTACAGGGAAAATTTGAGACTGAAAAAGCTACACATTACTTATTATATGAATGCACTGTGCTATATAAACTTGAATTCTATTCCAGAACAAAAAATTCAGACATCTTTGGGAAATAATGAAGGACTTTAGAGACACTGTGGTCTAAACATTCTTAAATTTTAAAACTGCATCATGACTGTTTATAGTATCATACAGGGCATGTCACTTATACTCCACTTTCTCTAACATTTATTTACCAAGAACTTACTTGGGGACTTCTATAAACACAGGTTTCTAAGATGGTAAGTTTAATTTTTTTAAACCTCAACTTTCAGTGCAGAAGAGTGTAGTAGTTAGCAAGAAAAATGTCAGTAACTCATCAGTTGAACTTGGTTTGGAGGTACTCTAGAAGCACACCAAAATTGTCACACGCAATTAAATAAATGAAATAAATAATTACATATAATACTGACATGATATATACTAATATAATAAATAAAGTCACAAGCAATTAAACAAATGCATTTATGCAAAAACTAAGCCCAGGACTTACCCTTATAAGCATACAGACTTAAACAGAGCCAGAGCAGAAATGACCAGTGTTTAGGTATAAAGGGAACCCATTGTGAAATGGGTTGTTTCCAGAAAAATGCAGAACATAATTTGGTTGACTACAGTGAATCATTATGTAGCTATCAGGAACAGACAAAACTGTACAAAGCCAGTGACAAGAAGTCAACAGTTCCTAATATCCATCAGTAATTTCTAATTAATACTTCATGTGAATATCTCTGTACCATAAAAGGAGAAGAAAAGACAATGATATACTCTTTGTGTGGAGTTCAAGTATTAGTACTCATGTGATTTTATAAGGAATGATACAGATTAAACAGACTCCATTCATTTTGAAAGAAAAATAAGGCAAATTAAGCTCTGGCAAGCACAAACAAAATACAGTACTTTCTGTAACAAAGGTGTTTTGTGGACAAGAACTGGGTATTTTGTCTGTGAACTTGTTTGCTTTCCATATAATTATCTTATTTTTTTAATAGGAAACATCCATAAAATTTAGTAGAGTGGTACAACATAAATGTGGTGCTAGGCAGGGCATTAGACTTAAAAATAGTCAGTGTTAACTGACTATTAACATTAAAAAATGTTAATTTTTAGATCTGATAGTTAAGAGGTAGAAGGTTTGCAGTAATCTCAAATTCCCCTATCAGCTGCTATTTCACCGTCATTGTGGAAGCTTCTGATGGCTTGTGAAAAATAGTAAACAATCCTTTTGAAATTCCTTAACCTTCTCAACAACATGCCTATTTTTTGCAAGTACATGTACAGGCTTCTACATGTTAAGATCTTAAAATTCAAACAAAATAAAATATCCCTATCTTTTTATCAGCAGACCATACTTTTCACGGAGTTCTGCTTCTTTTGCAACAGTCTCTTGCAGCATCTTATTGTGTCTTTCCAGCAGGGTGTCGTGTTCAGACTGCAATGCCTGGAGTTCAGATGCATTCATCTGTGAATTATGCTGAGCATCTTGCAGCTTAACTTTAAGTTGATCTATCACCATTTCCAGCTGTTCCCTGCACGTGGAAGCAAAAGGAATACACAACATGCATTTAAAATAATTACATTATTTCAGAACCTCTATAATATCCACAACATTTTGGATAGCTCATCCAATTTGTGCACTTATTAATAAATCAACACAACACTAAGACCAAAATAATTTCAGAATGTGGCTACAGCAGAAACAATCAGAACTTTTTCAACATAGATTCAAATAGGTTTGCCACATGCCATCTGAACTGCTGGGAATGTAACTACTGGGGTAGGAATCATGACTGATAGCACCTTCTACTTCAAGGAGGGACAAGACAGAAGGAAAATAATACATGGGAATCAGATGGGAGAAAAAATTTCTTCTTAAAAGTGGTGAGGTTTTTTTTTCACTTGTTTCATTTGTTTGAACATCAGTTCAATCAGACCAAATACAGGGGACAAATGGTTACAGTAGATTTTGAGCAAATTACTAGAAAGTAACATCAAGTCCTTAACAGACAAACTCAGTTGGTCAGAAACAATTCAAAATCAGAAATACCAGGAAGAAAAAAATCTTAAGTCATATGCATTCTTTTTTTACTCATTTCTGTATTTATATATGCGGACACCTCCACTATGTCAAGAACTGTGTATCTCACTAATCCTTAGAGTTGATACTTGTAAATAATTTCTTTGGGAACCATTTGTCATCTGTTTATTGCTTATCCAATTTGTTTCCAAGACGGTTCTTTCTCACAAAAAAAAAAAAAAATCTATACCAGAACTTCTTAAAATTCTGCAAATAAGAGAGTCAAAGAAAGTTTGTCTGCTTCAAAAGCAAGAACGTTTCAAAAACCCCAAACCAGCCCCGAAGCCAAGCCCTCCAACAAGGCGCAAGTCGCCCTCTGGCGGATGTTTGGCCGCCATTGCCGGCACCGACTGAGGGTCTGGGGCAGAAACGAATCCTGGCATTCCACACAAAAACGCCCAGTCTGTCACCAAGGGCAGCCACCAATGACTAACAAAAATAACTTGCACAAACTGATTGACTTTTGCAGTGAGTTGAGACATTTTCTGAAGTGAATATGAATTCACCTGGCCTATGACTGTACTAAAAGGATTTTCAGGTAACTTTTGGTCGTGTAACTCTTTCCTTCCTTCCCTCATATGATACAACATACAGGATTTCATAAATATGCAGTAACTGATGACTGAATTGCCATCCAGAGCTTTACTTACACTTAACCACTCATTCCTGAAAAAGTTCAAAAGTGAGCTCAGCTGAACTGAACCAATCTGCTCTTTTCCTCTTAGTTGCAAATAGCATTTGGCTACTTCACATCAGAGAAAATGTCAAGTCTACACAGAATGGGCAAGCTAATTTCTACTCATGAGAGTTATAAAAAACTTTCTAAGACCTTACTTCTCCTTCCAACTGTAACAATAGGTGATCTATACAAAAACAGTGGTTAAAAAGACAAATCCAGCTATTAGAAACTAATACAGCACCACGACAGTAGGAACTGATAATATTTATTCTGTTCAGCTAGGCAGCACCACAGTCAAATTACAGATCAAGTGAAAATGTTAGTTTTACCTTTCTTGTTTGGCTCCTTCAGATTCTGTCCGAGCAGTACATTTATTCTTTTGCTGTTTTAGAACATTATGAACACGGACTTTGTAGCTCTCAAATTCAGATGTAACAGATGCTTGTTCAGCCTACCACACAGAAAACAAACCTGTAAGTTATGCTGTTGCTCCCTAATTTCTCTATAATGAAATGCATCTTACACTGAAAAAAAATTAAAACGACCTGCTGTATTTCCTTCTTTAAAATAGATAATTAAAACAGTGACCAACATAACAATGTTTCTTTAGATTTTAACTGAGTATCATATAATGTGAAACTTGAGACACTGATTTTCAACATACCAGTATTAAAGAAAAGAAAGAATACTTGAAAATTCAAAAACTGCATTCAACTGATTCATAAGCCAGGGGATCTGACACAGGTTTAAATGAAAGCAAAGGTGACAGAAAATACAAGAGGCATAATTCTGTTTCTCTCCAACACTACAAGGGCAACAAAAATTCTAACGTGAGATGAAGTTATGCATACTTCTGAGTTAAGTCAGTCTTGCAATGGTATTACATAGCACCAGATATAATATTCTAGTTTACTGTAAAGGTGTTTGGTCTGTCTTTTCTCCTAAATTCAGCTGTTGCCTGAGTTTCTGTGGACATATAGAAAACTGCCTCACATCACAGTAGCTTCATCCTTGACTGTACACTATACAGCAAAGATTACTGCCACCCTTCCAGTACTCACACTGAATATTCCTCTTAAAAAAAAAAAAAAAAAAAAACAAAAACAAAACAAACAAAACAGCACTGACTCAAGTTTTCTTTCTTGGATCTTAGGACTAGGTCATGGATTCATTAGTCACTTGCATTTACAAGTAACTAAAATGTTCTCACCTCCAAGAGGAGGATTTTGGAAACTTTCCCTTCAGCTGAACTGCCTCTGATTAGCCACTGGTCCAGATTTTCAGAGTCTGTACATTTTGTAGCCATATTCTTTACATTAATCCTTTGCTTTTCTTCCTGTCAAACTGTGTGAATATTCCTAAGTCCTCAGGTACACAGCCTTAAATGTCAGCATGATTTCTGTTTTCTACTATCTGCTTTGGTGTCCACATTTCCTTTAGAAGGAATTTTCTTTTGCTAACAACCTTTAATAATATCTATTTTCCATATGTAGGGCATCTGAATAGGAAAGCTAATCCTCCAAGAGGTTCAAGCTGTGCCAATATGGAAGATCTACAACCTTGCTGATTTCACAGCATCACAGAGCAAACCACCACAGACAGGTATTGTAAGCACCCAGGTATGAAGAATACATTTGTAAAACCATGATCCGTGAGTACAGGCACAACTAAGGCAAACCTCCTGTGGCAGCAATCACAAAGCTTGTCCATTTCAGTTCAGCTTTTTAAAACGCAGTTGTTCTTTTGAGAGGCTGAATTATTCAGCTGCTGCTCACCTGCAGGATGCACCTACCACCACACCTACCATACAACAGTGGCCATAGAGTAGTGCAGTAATCCCCATAAAGGTGGTTGGAACATAAGAGTCCTACTGTATTTTGAATCTGCTTGTCTCCAATGCAAACACTGCATTCCAGGACTATCAAACAGGGTTAAATAAGCAAAAAAATCCCAGAAACAATAATAAACTTTAGTAACAGTGTCAGTTTTCCATGTGGTTCAGCTGCCAGTTAAGAAGCTGCTCATATTTCAGCATATTAAAAGGTGCTTGCAAATATATTTTTTCACAGTTTTTTTTTCTTTAAAGTGGTATCTGTGTTAACTGGTTTTATATGAAACAACTTATATTCCTATTTTTTCATTTGTGCTCTTTTCTTTAAAGAATTTTCTTTTCCCTGAGTGTATATTTACTGATATCTTAAATAAATCCTGGTTTCCCACTACCACAGGTTTTTCCCTACTGTAAATAGCAGTATGCAATCCAGATGTTTCATCCCAAGTGATACACATCAACCAGGACAGTCTGGCTCGTCCCTTATACCACCACTCAATACTGGGGTAATTCGCAATTCTTGACAGAGAAAAAAAGAGTGAAAAATCAGAAAAATATTTTTGAAGAAGCAAAGAGTGCAAGTAATCTCCCTTCTTAAGCCTCTAAGATTACTTCTTCCACTGGAATACCTGGGCTGCTCGGCACTCTTCTTGCAGGGCTGCAATTTTTTGCTGGCAAGCACTCATTGTACGCTGGTGCTGCTCCGAAGATGTTCGTAGCTGTTCCTGAACTTTATGCTTTTCTGATGTCAGTACAGCCACTTGAATCTGAAAAAGTCAGTTGAAAATTTCACTATCACGAAAACTTTTTTTACTTTTCCAAGGGAACATGCCACTGAGAACCTAGGACTCTACTATAGCAATTCCTGCACAGAGCTGGTGAATATAAAACTAAAATCCAACAAAAATAGAATAAAAAAATAGACATGGGTTACCATGTAATAATTTTTAAAAAGTGATGCTGTTTAAAGACAGAATTGAAGATATAATTACAATGTTGGGGTAGAAGCATTTAAGAAAGCCAACCTCTCTCTCCTCTCTGCTTCTTTCATTACATTCTAATCCATTTCTATTCTGTATACAGATGGACAACACTTAAGATTTTTGCTGACAATGTTGTGCTTCTGTTTTTAAAATGAGCCACTTCCATTTTTAAAGAAACATTAAAAAAGATGTTCCAGTTACAAGCTTCAAACTCCACAGTCCTCTCCTTTGGTGGAAAGGGAAAGAGGAAAAAGACAGGGTAAATCCACTTAAAGAAAATCATAGCAAAAAATATTTTGGGGGAGAAGCAGCAAACAGACAAAACTCATTTAAGAAAAAGAACCAGTAATCTAAAAGTAAAAATAGCATCTCTTTATTCTTCAGCCGATATTCCATGCGCCCAGTACAAATCACACCCTCACTACTTAAATGAGAAAACTTGTACTAACAAAAAGTGAAGTTTCTTGCCTTATAGGCTTCCACTTGCTGTTGACTGGCTTCCAGTTCCCCTTTCAATGATGCCTGCAACATTAGATGGTCATTTTCCTGCAAGATAAAATTACCTGGAGATTAAAAAAAACCCGTCCAAAGTCAGTAACCTAAAAAATCAGCTGCCAGCTGTTTTTTAAAATCTAGTTTAAAAACAGAATATGCAGTCATTAGCATATGGACTTACAGCTTGTTTTGAATCAGCCAATTCTTTTTTGGTTTTCACCAGGAGTTGTTTTATCTTGGCATTTCTTTCCTCATCCTGCTGCATAGTTGACTGAAGTGACTCTAATGCAGAGAAAAACAATTATATGCAAAGGAAACTTCCCCTCTTATATTTCCTTAAAAATGCTGGAAAATATTTTTAAAAATTCTAACGGATTCCTTAAGAGCTGTGAACAAGTAGCTTACAGTAACTTTAGTATCCTTTTCCTAAGTTATCACAAAGATCTTAAAATAAGTGAAATGTTTTCAAGATTTGCACTTGAGCATAGGAAGAAATTGAATTTTTAACCACATGGTAATCAGTAAAGTTTTATGAGTGTGGTATATCTGAATGAAACCCTTGTCAGTCACCAATATTTAGTACTTATTAATAACTTTATCAGGTAATAAACACAGTATGACAGACAGGTAAATTGGCTTTTAAGTGCTGAACACTGGATTAAGTGATTGATAACCTAGTAAAGGCTCCTCTAAGACAAAACTGCTTTCCTAATGCAACTGTTTAGTATTCCCTGCAAAGCTTACCCTCACTTGCTGACTTGAGAAGTTTTTCCTGAATTGTATCTTTTACCACTGCTAATTATATCATAGTGACTCTTCTGTTTATAGTTTACTCACTTATTTCTTCCTGTAGGGTCTCTTGTTTCTGTTTCTGAATCCCTGTTTCTTGCTCAAGGTCTTCTATTCTGCTGTCTTTATCAGTAATCTTCTGATTAAGTTCTTTTACTAGCCTTTCATAATCAGCTATTTCCATATCCATCAGTGTACTCTTTTGAGCATCCTGAAAGGCACATAAAATGAAGTTAGAGCCTTGCCTGCTAAGACTTTTGTAATTCTGTAAAAAACTATATTGCCCATCAGACAAAGATCTTGTCTCCATCCATATCCACAAATATCACCCATCCACTGGGTTTCCATATCCTCAGTAAATAATCTGTTTTCAAACAAGAATCAAAAGCTTTGAAAAACCTGTTGCTAGTTTTATCAGTAGGTATTTTGTATGTATTAGTTTTTGTCATCTTCAGTCCTTACAACCAAGGCAATTTCTTAACAGTGCACTATACATATGTACTCCAGACATCTGAATTCTACTCCTATTTCTATTCATGAAAGGCCACATAACCCAAGCTAAACCAACAAACAAACAAACAAAAAATGAACCAAAACCAATTCCAAAAGTACATTTCAGCTCTCCAAGCACACAACCAGGGGCAAAAGCCCTCACATTCTCCCTTTTGCAAACCTCCAGATTTAAAATCCTCAGAACAGAAAGGGAGTCATTCAACACAGTCCGATGGGCCAAAATCTTTGGTAGTCTATTAAGCACTAACATGGATAGTAACTCTACCTTTCTGGCCAGCTCTAGTTCTTGCATAGTTTTCTGCAGATGTTTCTTTTCCTTCTGAAGTTGCATCTGAAGCTCCTCCATTTCTCGGAGAGCACCACTATGTTCCTGAAATTTAAGTAGTTGTCAAATATGCAGTCCAATTTCAAAATAGATGCAAACATCTTTCTATACTTAGACACATACACACACAAACTTGTATTGTACAAAGGTAGCTGATTCCTTTCTTAGGAAATCACTGTGAACCAGAGAAAAACCAATAATGCTATGAGAAGTGGTTTCCACATTCTATATACCTACCCCTAACCTGAACTGACAGTCTTGCAAAGTTCTTTCAATAAACAGACCAAGTTTTCAAAAAAAGTCAAGTAACATAGAGGGAAAGTGCAGAACCTGGTCTATACAAACACAGTTTACAAAGGTCTAACAGAAATCACATCCATTGAACGTAATGCTTCAGCCCATTTACCATCTTTATGAAGTATTACCTTTGTTTTCTGCTCTCTTAGAAGCTTTTCAGCTTCTAGTTCTTTGTCAGCCTTTGCTTTGGCTCTTTGTATCTCCAGTATCTGAGTTTCCAGCAGCTTAGCATTATTTTGCACTGTTTCAACACGAGCCAGGAGGTCTTCATTAGCAGAGCGTAACTGATCATGCTGAAATTAGCACAGTGGAATGATAAAAACATAAGCTGAATTTATGTGCAAAGATAACAGACAAAATATTTTCTGTATTTAAAAAAAATACCCAACTGATTTCTATCCAAATCCCTTACAAACAACACTCCTACAGATGAGTCTTGTCCAGCTTAATTCTTTCAAACCACATTAATAAAAAGGTGAATTAAAGCCATTAGCAAATTTTGGTTATTTTGTTCAGTTAATTTGCCCAGCTTTCTGTAAAATGGCAAGAATCAAAAGAAATCTGAAAAAAATACCCAAAAACTTATGCTTTCTGCATTATCACCTTCTCCTTGCAATACAGTATTTCAATATCTACTGCCACACTTCAAATACAGCTGCTGTATTTATAAACAAATGATCATACTATTAACTCCTAAGAAAGGCTGAACTGCAAACTTTGACTGAGCCACCAAGTCTTGCACCAGTACACAATAAGAACTCTACTGCATCAGAAATACTTTTGCAATGACTTTGACAGATTAATTTTGACATTTTCAATGATGTATCCTAGTCTTTATTTTGCCTATTAAGAATGAAGTGTAAGTGAAAGATGTCAACTACTTAAACAGTGTTTTATTTACAAATTCTTTGAAACAAACTTGAAAAATGCAAAGCCTGCATAATCAGCAGAATATATACTATTATTTCTTATTGCTTTCTATGCTATTTACTACTGGCTTGTGTTTATAAGGAAACAGTGGCCTAGGTGGATCTCTGGTGTATGAGGCCTGGGAATTTAAATCCTAAATACCAAACCCATTGCAGTTAGCTTTGCAAAGATGTGTCTCACAGCCCCTTAATTACCATTTTAGACTCTTCTGAATGCCACAATAGTACTCTACAATGCATCTTAAAGTCTAATCCTTGTGAAAAATGCAAAATCCATAACTCATTTAGTATATTTAAACACTCTGTTGATTAAACAAAAAAATAGAAAACCCCAAAGCCACATTTTTTTGAAGAAATAGAAGAAAAAATGTCTCAGTTAAAGGTTACTGCAATTCATAAGAAGTGTAGGTGTGCAGTCAGAAAAACAGTGCAAGTTTGATACTTGCAGCAAAGCTGTAGGTCCACAATCAAGCCAGAGATGATCTGCTCTGTGAGTTGATCTGGGATAAATTAAACTCTTTCTATTGACAAAGTCAGACATTCTAGATATATTTATCTTTGTCATGGCCCAGGTAAGGTATCAGATGTCGAAAAGGAACAAACAAACCACTCTGAATTTCAAGTTACTATTTAAAACACACTTAGGTTATGAAACTATAGTAACAATGACATGATTAGGACTTACACTCAACAGGAAGAATTAATTTTTATGGTACTTATCAACAGATCAGACCCACATCCAGAACTGACCTGCTCGGATGACACCTGTAGCTGTCTTGTGAGGTCCTCTACCTGACGTTCAAGATTATTTGCTCTGCCTTTTTCAAAATCCAGCTGCTCTCCTTGCTTGTCATATTCCATCAAAAGATTCTTAACACATACAAACACAAAGGTATAATTTTTTACAAGACGTATTGCATAAGCACATTCTATATCTCTGAGGTGCGCTTACCCAGTATTTCACTACATGATTTGTCTCACTGCAACATCAGAAATATCAGAATGAAATTAAAGCTATCATTCCATTACAGGCTCTGGGAGAAAACCCTTTCAGTTCATGACATTCTAAAATAATTCAGGTTGGAAGACAGCTCAGCAGGTGTCACCCTCCTGCTTAAAATAGGGTCAGCAGTGAGATGAGACCAGGTTGCTCAGAGCTTTGTCCTATGTCTTTCCAAGGACGTGCCTCCAAAAATGGAACCACTAAGCAACCTATTCCAAAGCTTGACCATTCTCATAGCATAAAAATGTTTGTTCATGTATCCAGTTGGAATCTTTCCCTTCAATTGAGGACTACTGTCTTATCTTGCACCACCATTCATAACCTGACTGTCTTTGTAATGTCTCTGCAGGTACTGGAAGACTCCTATCAGGTTCCTTTGAAATTTTCTGCAGGCTGAGCAGCTTCTCATCACTTATTCCAGTCCCCTGACCAACCTGTCATCTCTCCACTGAAATTTCTTCCAGTTATCCATGTCTTTCTTTATTTGGGGGGAGAAGGACGAACAAGAGTTGATGTTAATACTCTCAATGATGTCACAGAATCATTTATATGGGAAATGACCTTTAGGATCATAGAATCCAACTGTAAACCCAGCACTGCCAAATCCACCACTAACATATGTCCTTAAGTGCTGTGTTTACCTCATATAGTTGTATACTAAGTGCTTGCTGTGTTTACTTATTGTATTTTAAATACCACCAGGGATGGTGATCCCATTGCTTCTCTGTTCTAATGCTCAAGCACCCTTCTTGTAAAGAAATTGTTCATAATATCCAATCTAAAGCATTTCTCTCTGTCCTATCTTGTTGCTTGAGAGAAAAGAATGATCCCCACCTGACTACACCCTCTTTTCTGGTGTTTGGAGAGAGCAATAAGCTTCCCCTGAGCCTGCTGTTCTCCACACTACCTAACCTCAGTTCCCTCAGCTTCTCCTCCTAAGTCTTACAGGGAACAGCTTTCTCTTGGGGAAGCAATGCTGACTCGTCAGCTGCTTCTGCTCCATGTACCCAGAGATGTGCTCCAAGAAGACTTGCTCCCAGGAAATCACAAGTTTGTCTTTATCATTTAAGGATTTTCAAACTGATCTTTGATTTTACGAACTTTTCACAATTCACAGGGATTTATGTTTTGTCTAGCAACACACTGATTGGTATGTATGATGCTAGATTCAAAGGGTTAAAAATAGCATTCCAGTAGAAAGGAAGTGTCTCATTTTCTTCTGACAGCAGCTGCATGGTTCCCTGAAGAGAACCTTACATTTCTGGATTCTGGTATTCAATTGCACTGACACAATTTCTTTTGCCAAACATAATTGTGCAAGTAAATAGCACTGTATATCCAGACTAGGCTTCAAACCCAAAGTACTTTCTGACAGTTTACTGTCTTTTGTGAATACAGCACTATTCTTACCTTATAGCTTTCAGCTCCTTGAATTACATCTTTCATTGAAGCAGACAATTGATCTTTTTCTGATCGAACCAAGTCCAACTCTTCCTTCAGAGTCTGCATCTTATTAAAAAGAAGTGTGTGCCATTAAAACAAAGCCCCCATGCAAAATCTTCTTCATATTAGGAATTAGTCAGGGTACCTCTTTTCGGCTGGCATCTAATTCTTTCTTTGCTTTCACAGCAACCACTTTAATTTTATTTAGCTTCTCTCCTTTTTCGGCAGATTCTTTTTCGAGCATCCCTAAAAGAAATACATAAGAAAGTTAAAAATTATACCCTTCCATTTCTTCCCATGAAATGAAATTAAATGAAATTCAATTGGAACACAAACATCAGCATGACTTTAAAACCAAACAAAATATAAAGCAGGGGGAGATGTTCAAGTGTTTCATACAGTCAAGCATTTAATTTGAAGCTAAAACATCCAGACATACAGAGAACTTAGGGGCAATCTTTCCCTGGACAATCTTCCCCTGTTTCAGAAGCTTCCATCACAGTTAAGAGCAATATTCCTGTCTACTTCTACATAAATTTAACAACTCAGAAGCATTTTCCTCCTCTTTTGTTGGGATAACTGCAATAAAGCAACAGTAGTTTTGGCAGTGTTGTTTCCCTTTCCTTCTGGTAGCCTTGGGGATTCTCAGTGATACATTTCCCACATTAAAAAATAAAGATTAAATCCACTACACTGTTTATAGACAGATATACAGAGGAACAAAAAGCCTTAAAAAGTATCAAATCATATCCAACTTAAAACTGCTAACATTTTAAATTCCCAAAATTGCTAACATTTTTAATTCCCAAATTCCATGGAAGGAATACTGTAGGAATATGCATTAATATCCACTTCCCCATCTGCCTTGACTTGTGAAAATACAGGGCAACCATGCAAAGAAAGAAAAGGTAACAATCCAAAGAAGCCAGACCATTTATATAAAAGAATAAAGTGAGAAAGATACCAATTTTTTCTTGAAGCTCTGCCACTGAAGACTGTTGATCAGTTTTCTCAGTCATTGTTTCCATTAAATTCTGTATTATAAACAAAGACAAAAGAAGTATTACAAACATTTCTTTGTGGTACCTGTTTTGTCCCTAACAAGACACCAAAGTTTCAGCTACAGCTAAAACTATGTTCTTACAACCAGGAAAGCCTTTATAGGAAGAACAACTTTGTACCAGCTTGATGAAAGTACAGTTATGCTGAAAGCAGAAAATTCCGATCTTTTAAGAGCTGCTTTCCATCCTGACCAAGGATAAAAAAGGGGAGATACCCTCATTCTGCAGCTGTCAGCTTTACAAAACTAGCAATTCCCACGACCTGAAGCTAATGCAGATTAAGAAGTTTGAGATGGAACCACAGAAAGTTAGAGGTGAAAGATTATGAGTGACCTGAAGCTAATGCAGATCAAGAAGTTTTGTTTGAGATGGAACCACAGAAAGTTAGAGGTGAAAGATTATGAGGTTAGGTAGTCCATCTAGTCAATTTATTGCTTCAAGGGATATTGATAGGAATGAACGTTCAGCTACAAGCAGCTTTTGTCAAAAAACATTATGATTGGTTTTGTTTCATTCTTTTTTTCCTGGGGGAAAGAAGGGAATTCTGAGGTGCTAGAAAACTCAGAAATATGTGCTTTCTAGAAGGGAGACTCACTTTCAGGCCAAGGGAAAAAAAAAAGACAAAATAGAAAAGAGAGAATTGAAAGTATTTTTTGAACCTTAATTCTGAAGACTTTAGAGGTTTAGTCTTTATACTTCAATAACAAAATATAACCTTTAGAGAACTCAGTTCGTCTTTCACATTTCTAAGCTCAGTTTCCTTTTGTTCCAGAATGAAATTTAAGTCGTCTTGTTTTTCAGATCCTTTTTGCTGTTCTTGTATTTGACTTTCATAAAGAGCAAGTTTTTGACTCATCTCTTCAGTATTAGCTAAAAGATCTTGATTTTCAATCCTTGTTTTTTCACTGGCATTTTTCAACTCCTGGATATCACGTTGAAGCACTTCTTTTTCAGACAACACTCCTTCCAGTTCTTCTCTCAAGAGATTCTTTTCTTGTTCAAAATCCTGAATCAGGGATCTATGTTCTCTACGTTGAGCTGAATTTTCTTCCTCTAATCTCTCAACTTCTCGCTGCAACCTAATTACTTCCTCCTCCTTTTGCAGAGCAAGGGACTGCTCTTCTTTAATTTTTGACAAGCATTCATCTGCAATTTTTAACAAGTTAAGAGAATCATATTCTTCATTAGAATCTGAAATGCTGAATCCCACTTGCTCAAGTAGGTGGTACAGCTGAGTTCTTACAAGGGATGTGTGCACTTGTTCATTTTCAAGTAATGTTGATATATGGTCTTTTTCTGCAGTCATCATTTGTAGTTTCTTTTCTAAGTTTTCAGACTGCTCTTTCAATACTGAAAAACTATCTTTTTCAGATGTAGTTTTTCCCAGCTCTTCACTTAATTCACCTTTTTCCTGAATGAGTTTCTTATTTTCCTCATGGAGAGTGTGCACTTCAGATGAAAGCTGTTCTTTATCATGCACCAGAGATTCAATCTGTTTTTCTAATTGCTCTAGCATTTGAGCATTTTCACCCTTAGAAATTAAGGCTTTGTTCAGTCTCTCTGTTAATTCCTCTACCTTTTTCTTCAGGTCATTATTGTGCTGGTTAGCACAATCTACTTCTTGTTGAAGTTCCTGAATTTCAACTTGTTTTTGTTTGCATGTTTCCTGAAGGGTTTCTCTCTCTTCACCCAAGCATTTTATATCATTTAAAACATCCCTGTTTTGATCAGTAAGAGCAGTGATCTTCTCTTCCAGTTTTTTTACAGTAATCTCTTTTTGGTCAAGAGAGCTTGTCATTGCACTATTGTCCTCCTGAAGACTAATGACTTTACATTTAAGTTCTTCTGTCTCTAACTGATACGATGACAATTTTTCTACTTTTTCCTGGAGGCGATTTACATTTTCAAGAAGAGCATCCCTTTCATTGAAAGCAGCTCGGAGTTTCTGTTGCAGTTGACTGACATCAGAAGCTTGCTGTTGTTTCATTGATTCAAACTCCTGGCTGATCTTTCCAGCAGATTCACCTAGCTCAGCCTGTAGAGTTTCCATTGTTTCTCTTAGGCCGTTGTAATTGGACACTGCTTCTTCTTTCTCCTGAGTTACCTTTTCAAGTTGTTCTCTAAGTTCCTGCATTTCGAAAACTAATGCCATCTGTTCCTTTTCAGAACCAGATAATAAAGTTTCATTTAGTTCAGAAATTTCTCTCTGGTGCTGCTCTTTCAGAGTCTGAATCTCTAATTTGTGCTCTTTTGCAGCAGATTCATAGTGCTGTCCTGCTGCTTGAAGCTCCAATTTTAGTTTTTCAATTACACAGCAGTAATCTTCTTTAGTAAGCTGCAATTCATTTATCTTAAAATCCAAGTCTTCCCTCTCATGAAAGTACTCATCCTTCATACGATGGATTTCCTCTTCCAGTTTTATCTTGACATTGCTCATATAAGTCAACTCATCCTTTAATATACTATGTTGGGACTGGAGTTCTTCTAAACTATGCTCCAGGTACCTAACTTTTTCCTCCATTTTTGCTTTTACGCAAGGTTCTTCTTGTGTATCTGCAACATCTATCTTGTTTTCTAAATTTTTATGTAAGACTTCTCTCAGCTGCTCCAAGTCATATTCACGCTTGTCAGCCTGAGCATGCATTTCATCCTTGGCATTTTTCTCTGCCAAATTATGCTGCAACTGATTTATTTGATTTTGCTTTTCTTCATTTTCTCTACATGATATTTCAATCTGATGCATTAGTTCTGACACCTCTTCCTGATGAGCAGTTTTCAATTTTTTAACTTCCTCATTCAGATTTTTTATTTCATTCTGGTAACACTGAGAGTTGCTTTTAATAGTTTCTTGCAGATTTGCCACTTCTTTGTTCTTGTCTTCATTCAAAGCTTCCAACTGCTTGTTAAGACACAAAATTTGCTCCTCATAAGTAGATTTAATTCTTTGGACATCATCTTGTAATCTTTTAACTTCTTTTTGACTATCATTGTAACATTCAACCTGCTCCACCAGCTCCATTTGTTTCTTCACTTGTTCATCTAATTCCATCTTCAGCTTTTTTAAATCCTCATTGTGCTTGCATTGTGCATTTGCTAATTCACTCTTCAGAACTTTTATTTCTTCCAGAGAGTCAATTCTTGATTGTTCCAGTTGCTTCTGCAATTCTTCTGTTTTTGCCACTGCAGCCTAAACAAACAAGCAAATTATTAAATACTGGTAATTTAGCACACAAAATTTCCAAGTGAACTGTTTACAAAAATGAATTAGAAAAGACAGCAGTCCACAATTTTTAAAACTGCTATAGCTTTAAAATATCTAACTGTATCAGAACAACTCAATTCAGAAGACACTACACAGAGCACAAGAACATTTGCAAAATGAGAAAGGAAAACTAAGTCCTAGATCACGTTTACCAGCATAATTTCACAAAATGGTCACAACAGACTTCAGCTTTAGCAGCTATTCTGATAATGTATTAAAGATCAGATTACTTTTAAAGTATCAAATTCAGGTATCTGGAATATAACAAGCAATTGCAAGCAATTCAGTCTTCACTTTATTATTAATTGAGATTATTTAAATAATATAGGTGCCTTGGCTGACAGGCTCTTTCTTATGACTATCTAAAGATAAACCTCACATGAATATCTAAGGGTTTACCTTGTAAAGGTAAACTCAGGCTCCCATGGAAAGACAGAGCTGATTGATTGATTGATGCCTATGTAGGCTTTTAATGCACAGACTAAATTCTTCATGCAGCTGTGGATCTAGACAGCATATATAAGAAATTTTTATTTATTATTATAAACTAGGGGTAAAGAGAAAATATGCTTCAATTTATAAAGCCTTTGTATTTTTTTAGATTTTTTTAAGAGAAAGTAAGTGAAGGTAAGTGAAGAAAAAGATTAAAATTAGATGCACAACAAGCAAACCTGGAAAATAAATAAAATTCTGAAATATTTCAGTAATGTTCCGTGGCTCATTTCAATACCTCTGCTTCTTGCTTTATTTGAACATTTTCTTTTTTCAGAGCTATGCACTGCTGCTGACTTTCAGCTTTTTCCAGAAGCACCATATCCAGCCTTTCTGTGAGAGCCTAATATTAAATGAGAAAGATCACTGAAAGAAGGGTCTCTTAACAATGGAAACAGTGATTTCTGCAAAAGGTAGAAACCCACATATAGATTATGACACTTTTCATCAAATAAACCCACATATAGATTATGACACTTTTCATCAAATAAACACATAAGTCAGCAATTTAAAAATTGCTTTCAGCCCAAATAAAACTGATACGAAGTAGGGAGATTAAAACAATGATTTTCGGTTCTTTTAAAAATTGTACTTGTGATCAGCTAACTTTTTATTACCAGGTGATGGTGGTGAAGTTCCCTTTCCATAGAAAAGAAATCTCCATCCAAATTATTCAAAACAATTCTGTAACTGAGAAATTCCTTCTCACTACCAATTTTCACTTTTGTATGCTATGACCCTTATCTTGAGAAAAGCAAATCCTAAAAGTATTTCTTGTGATATGCAACTTGAATTATGTGTTTCTAATCTCATCAAATTATTGTCTCAGAACTTTTCTAAATGGCTGAAGTCTTTGTGCAATGGTCACTCCAAAATAAACAAAAGCTGGTCTAACCTGCCAAACAAGGAAAAGTCTTGTTGGGGACATGCACAGAGTCACAGAGAATAGTTTGGGTGGGTGGGGACCTTTAAAGGCCATCTAGTCTAACCCCCCTGCAGTGAGCAGGGACATCTTCAACTCCATCAGGTAGCTCAGAACCCCCATTCAACCTCATCTTCAATATTTCTGTTGTGGGGGGGAAATCTGCCACCTCTCTGAGCAATCTTTTCCAATGTTTCACTGCCCTCTATATAAAAAAAAATAAAAAAATCTTCCTTATATCTGATCTAAATCAACTCTCTTTTTGTTTAAAACTCCATTATCCCTTGTTCTATTGCAACAGCCCTGCTGAAAAGTTTGTCCACATCTTATAAGCTCCCTTCAAGTACTGAAGTGCTGTGGTAAGCTCTGCCTGGAAAGTGTACTACTTTGTACTACTCCTCACAGAACCAAGAGCATTTCTGGCAAGTGGAGTAAGGACGTGAGGGGAGAAGGAAAATAAATGGTTTTAGGAAGTGTCTTGGACTCCTGCAGATTGATTCCATTCAATTTGAATAATGGCTTTCAAGCTATTAACTTTTTACCAATTATTTCTGTGGATTTATTTCAGCTAACTATACATAATACAGTAGAAACCAATTACATATTCCTACCTGAATAATATCATCAGCTCCTGCAGTAGCTGCTTTAGATCTGAGTTCTTCAATTTCTTTCTCCAGCTCTTAAAATGTAAAGAAATGTTACACTATTAATTGATGCTGCATCACAGTAGCAAATTTTAGTAAATCCTGTGCCTGACAACACTTCTATTCAAATCAGAGAAGGCTTTTACTTCACCAATTTTTGTTTGTTACTGAGTGATAGACAGGACTAACAGAAAGAGAACAAATATTCAGTACTACTTTTCCAGTCCTGACACTGAGCATGGTTTCCTGAGGAAGCAAAACTTCCTGGCTTGGATAGAGGGACAACAGATAGAAATTCTTCTGAAGATCATCCATCTTACCTTCTATTTAATGGTCAATTTAAATCAGAGGAAAGATACTTGGTTTCTACTGTTTCTCTAAAAATAGGCAGCAAGCAGAAGAACAAGATCTTATGAATAACCACACTGAGGAAAAGCCTGGTACAGCCCATTTCTGTATCCTTATTGTTTCAGACGGCAGCTACCAGCAGTCAGCATAACTGTCATTCCAAACAAGGGGAAATGACACCAGTCCAAGTAGTGGGCCACTGGAGGAAAAGAGACTGCAGAGCGGACAAGGACAGCACATGAGAGCACAGATTTACAGGTACTTTTAGGTGTTAAGCATAAAATTTTGTTTGGTATATTTTACAATTTCTTGTTAAAGCAGTAAATTATCAAATATAAAGTAGCAATCTATCTTAAAGAAGTTACTGCACTCTACAACAAACTATACTCTATTAATTATGCAAAAAAACCTCCCCCCAGACATTCCTCCTCCCATTTGCTTCCTGAAAAGCAACCTCCACCAATATGGGGAAGAGACAATGACAAATCCCACTTCAACTTTTCCACAAGCTACACTGTTCCATCATGCCATACTCTCAGACCAAAATTAATTTAATACCTGACAAAAGCAATGCTTCTTTTCTTCTCTTTCTTAATCAAATTACTTCGGTCCTTATCTTCCCACCATAAATAGCAAAATTGAAGAAAAATAATATCTAGTATTTTTGCCTAGAATTTAAATCTACCTATCAAAACCACACAGTGATATTTGAAAAGGTCAGGCAGTGCCAAGCATTTAAGGCAGAAATTGCACTTTCCAGTAAGATACCTGCACATCTTGACTTCACTTTCTGTATAAGCATCATTTGCTTTTTTGCAAACTTGATGAGGTCTTCTTTGGGCAATGTGTCCAGCTGTAAAGAAAGTATGTATCAGAGAAACCAGTTTCCTCTAACCCAGAGGGAAACAGAAACAAGGCATTTTAGCATCTGACTTCCAAAAAGCTGAATTTTAGGACAAGTAACTCTTACCATACATTTGCAAGAAGTGTAACATTTCAAAGAAGAATAACAGTCCAAGTTACTGATGTTTTGTTATCCAATTCTGTTATTTCAATTACAGCAACAGAAACTACTCCTCATTCTGTACAACTACTCCTCATTTCTGAAACAATTCTGAAGCACACAATTGGGCAGCATTGGTTAGGAAATCTCAGTTAGGAAGGATTACAATTCAGTAATACAATTTGAACAATATTCTGGAAATAGCATACTGACCTAACATTATCATTGTCTAAATTTACTTCAAATGTATGTAAAGATGTCTGTGTCCATTATGAAACAGACTGCTGCCAAAACTGGATGCTATTAATAATTTATCAAATATAACAGGAAGTGAACATACCGAAAATATCTTTTTTCCTCAAGGTTTCCAAAACAGTTTATCTTAATGTTTATAAGTTAATTTTTCCTGTCTAGAAGAAATGTTAAAAATATCTTTGTCTTCCTATTAGTCACAGCTGGCATGCTAAGCCTTGCAACTACTGCTATCCAAATAAATTAGGTTTGTGAGGACTGATTACCTTTGATTTGCCTGACCCTGGTGTGCCAGAAGACGCCACCATCTCCTGCCCAGCATCTTGAACCTACAACAAAGTACAAAATAAAGTACAAGCTGCAGTAACAGACTTTTCAGTGTAAGACTACCAAAATAACTAACTGAAAGTCTCCCAACAGAGAGGAACTGAATATAGCAAAAGACCAAGAAAAGAAGTAAAACAAAATTTTTAAAACAACATGTATTTGTAGGGTGACTCAGAAGCATAGTAGAAAAAGATCTACTGTGATTATGAGAACAGCAGAATAGAAAGCTCCCATTGATCAAACCAGAATGACTTTATGATTCCATTACTGAATGGACATCTAGAGCTGATACGGTATTGCAAATTAATTTTGTGTACAAGCAGTTTCAAAAGCATGACTCACTATCCTGTTCTTAAAAGAATCATTAAAAAAAAAAGCAAGAACAACAACAAAAAACCCAAACCCAAACAAACAAAACACCCCAAAAAACCCCAAACAACAACAACAACGAAAAAAAAAAAAAAACCCAACAAAAAACCAAAAACCATTAAAAAAAAACCAAACCAAAACAAAACAAAACAAAAAAAAACTCCAAAAAAACTTGTAGAAGAGTTGTAGTTAAATCAAACCTTGGGAACTTTTGAACCACACAAGCTCCTAATCTTTTTTTGTTTACTTCTTAAACACACTGATTTATCACTACAATTATTAGCCTATCAAATATATTCCAAAAGATTCAGCAAAGTCAGGGCTCATTTGGACAAATTATAACCCTTCTCTACCTTTTTTTTAAACATACTAGTGCCCACTAGGATTGTTGGCCTGACAACCATATCTGAAAAGGCTCTGCAAATTCTGGGCTCTCTGTCCCTAAAATACATGCAAAATGCCTTCTACTGTAAACTCCCACAAATCTAATCTGGGAGACTGTTACTTTACAGTGGTTTAGATGGGATATGCTTATGTATAACCAGGAACACAAATAAATGTATGCAGCCACGATGCTGCGAAGGAAAAGGGAACAGATGCTCCCAATACCTTAGGAATAGAATTTCCAAACCTTCACCTTTACCCTACTTTTTCCTTCATACTATCTATCATATGTGCATGAGTATAAAAGTGAAGAGGTATATATATAAATATCTGCATTTTTACATATCTAGATGTTTGTGTGTGTATGTATACACACCTACCCTCACTTTTGTTCTGCTACTCTCTTCATTCTGCCAAAAAAATCAAAACTCTTATTAGTAGAAACTAAGGAAGAACCAAACTAGATCTGAACACTATGAAAATGGACAATCACGAATAATTGAGACAGAACAGGTGATACAGATAAAAAGCATCATCTTTAGAAATATGAGTTCAAGTACAGACCAAGGACAAAGGCAGTTATGAACACATCTATCTATGTACACATATGCTAAGTGTTTGGGTTTTTTTTAAGATGGAAAAAAGAAACTTAGAAAAAAATGTGCTGTAAAGCATTAGTAAAAAAAGCTATAAAGTTTCAGATTTTCTTAGCCTGTAAAACTTTGTTAACATTTACACTCCTAGTATTTTAGCACTTGGACAGCATAACGAATGATAACAAACTGCATGTACTGTTCAGAAAATGATAGCTCGCCACTCTCCCTACTACAGCAAGGTCAGATGAATTTTTTTCTCACAATACTTTTACTCTTTTAAGCTAATACATACAGAAGCAGAACCACATACTGTGTAAAATGATGCATCCAGTTTTGCTCTTCCGGTAACAGAAACCAGAGGCAGCTCATGTAGAGGGCTTCACCCAGTTGAGTTAGAAGAAAAATGAGGAGGATGAGCTACCAAAAAAGCCGGAGCTTTTCATAGATTAGCTGCATCCAAGCAGTGAGCCAGCAGCTACTAAGTATGCTTTTAAGCACAACACAGTCCTGCATGGGTCGTAGTCCACCATTCTGAAATCTGGATGCTTTCATAGTTTACTGAGATGTATATATATTTATATATATGTATACACATACATACATTCTTTTTTTAGATTTTATTTTAAGCCTACTTTACCCGCTACACTAAGGGGTTTCCATGCCACACTTCAAGATGTTTGACGTATTTTAACTGCTATCTATCCCTTACTTTTGCCATAGCTTAACATACTCTTAGAAAGCCCAACCAATGCATAAATGCAATATATTTGCTAATATATATTGCATAAATGCAATATATATATTAGCCATATTGCTGTGAACTGTGGCAGTAGTGGACATCATGAACAGCAATTTTCTGAGCAGTGTGCAACTATTAGACATCACCAACTCTTAAGTGCACCAAGACTCACATAAACCACATTTCGAATTGTGACTGCTTCAAGGAACAATGGCACTGAATCCCTATTAAAATGTGGCACATGAGCAGCAGAGGAGAGTTAATTTAATGTGTGAACTTAAAATTCCTCAATGCTGCTTTTGGATTTTCCTTGGTGTTCATAAAAGCCGTACTAGACACAGACACTTCAGTGGTTTTTATTTGTTTGCGTTGGTAGGTGTTTCACAGCTGACGTCCTGTTAACACATCGGGTCACCTCAGCGGAGCAGGAACCCTTGCTGGCCCGTGGGTGCTGCCACACAGTAAGCACTCGACGCCCTGGCCGTGTGTCACCCGAGTGTCGCTCTCCTGGAGTCAGCGCTGCCCGCTCTCCCAGCCCATGCCAACAGGGCCATGTCCCCACCTTCTAACAGGAGGGGCACTGAACAAGCCCCTCGTAGCCCGCACCGGCGCTCGCATTTCCGCAGGGCAGAGGCAGCGGCAGGGCCCCCTTCCCACCCCCGGCCTCCCTCACTGCTGCGCCACCCGCGGGGGCTGCGAGGCGGCGGCGAAGGGCGCCCAGTGGCCTACGGGCTTCTCCGCCCGTCACCGCGGGAAGGGAAAGGAACCCGCAGAGTGGGAGGGGCTGGTCCGCACCGTCCCCGGTCCCCCGTGCTGCATGCCAAGGTCACGCACCGCCCCCTCCGCGCCCGCCCCAGCTGCGGTGACCCCCAAGGCTCCGCGGCCCCTCTGCCCAAGCCGTACCGCCCTCCGCGTTACCTCCATGGCGGGGCCGGCCGGCTGCACGGGCGGGGAGATCGCGGCGCCTCAGCCGCTGCCAGCGCCACTACATCCTCCCCGAGCCGCTTCCGCCTCCGTCATCCCGGCACGCCGGGCTCGCCGGGCTCGGCCTGTCCGTCACGGAGCGCCGCCCCGGGGAACGGGCGGGGCTGAACGCACGGCCCGGTGCCTCGGCGGCCGAGCCCCCCTGGGACGAGCCGTGGGCTTGGGAGTGCGTATCGGTGCCGGCCTCGTGTTCTCCGCCTTATGAAAAGGGGAAAGGGGAAGGGGTACGGCTGCAGCACGAGTGCACCCCGCTATTCCCTGTTCCTGAAGGGCTCCTAAGGGCAAAGCAGTACTGCAGGCGCGTGTCTCGCTGCCACCGTAAGGAGAGTGTGAGGTGAAGGGTGACGTGCTCGGGCAAAAACGTAGCGATTTAAGACCCTGTTTTTAATACCTTGATGGAAACACAAAGTGATGTAAATTATTTATCAATTAAACGCGGCGGATGCCAGTAGGACGGTGCCAGACTTTTGATCACTGCCCAGCGACAGAACAAGGAGTAATGGCCTTAAATAAAACTGCAACAAGTTTCACCCCAGCATGAGGAAGAACTTCTGCCACGTAAGGGTGGCAGAGCACTGGCACAGCTGCCCAGGGGTCTTATGGAGTCTCCCTCTGGAGACATTCAAACCACCTGGATGCGTTCTTTGGCATCTGCTCTAGGTGACCCTGCCTTGGCAAGAAGGTTGGATGAGTTGATTACCAGAGATCCCTTCCAACCCTAACAATTCTGTGCTTCCATAAATTTAAAACTGGATGTGAAGGACTACCAGAGCAAATAGTAGAACCTAGATGTTACGGCTTGTAATTACGTGTTCTTAAAGAGACATTTTATGCCTGTTTGAGTAGGTGTTTGAGAGGAGAAATGCCTACTTTAAAGGGCACACATTTTTCATTGTAACCATGAATGCACTTTGGTAGTGCCTGAACAATTTTTCACATTTCATGATAAGTAATTGACTTTTAATGAAAAGTTGCCTGGGAAAAACAATTTAGGCATATTATTCTGTTTATGGTTCACTGGGAACACTGAATATCACCGAATTAATTATAATGTCATGAGAGAATATGTATTTTAATAAAAAAGGAGAGTTGTTTGTTGAAATGCTTGTCTTGGAAGAATAATTGCATTTTTCTGAGTCTGCTTACTGTCATTCTTGTAAAATTCAAATGGCAAATAGTGACAAAAATCAGAAAAGTTCTTCACATATACCTAAGAAAGTTGTTTTATTTTTTTCCCACCTCCAAGGCATTCAGTGTCCATTACATATATTCATATATATCTATTTACTCAGCTACACAACTGTAGCAGGAGCACATGGTCCCATGCTCACAGAGGTTGCTGGCAAGGAGCAGATGTCCCTAACCAAATAGCATGACAGTGTTTTTTCATTACTTCTGTAATTATACTTTTTAGAAGCTTCAGAGGACATTAAACAGATTTATTCTTTCCTTCCCCTTTTACATTGGAGTACTTTGAACTGGTTACCTATGCCTGTGTTGCTCTGATCTAACATGGGGATTTCGCAGAATTTCAGTAAGAGCTTTCTGAGGTAATGTCCTTCCAAAACCATTCCAGAGCAGAAGCTTTTCACCCCAAATTATGCAATACTGCACAGCTCTGTGCTTTGAGGTCAACCTCCAACTGAATTTGAATATTTGGGAAGAACACTGTAGGAAACTAACCTTCTCTTTTGGGAAACCACTGAGAAAATGTTTCATGCAAATTTGTTCCTTCTGCCTATCTTCACACAGTATGTATTACGTACCAACTCTTGGGTCATCTCATTATTTAATCTACGAGGGAATTGATTTTGGAGCTCATCCAAAGCAGACACAAAAGAGTTTTCAGAGGTGTTAGTACTGAAGACAATGAGCTACCGGCTCACTCATTGCAGGCTTTCTGTAGCTGATTCTGGCTAGGGACCACTCAGCCCTCCCTCCATTTTATGTAACAGAGTTTAGGTATATTGTACATTTGAGATTGTCTTAACAGTCTTTCATTCTGGTCCTGAATTGCAACAACAATTGCAAAGAATCCTGGTTAGGGAACGGTAGAAGAATTTGAAAAGTTTCTAGAATAACTATAAGAAAAAAGATTGATGATTTTGTCTGTTGATTGTTTCAGTTTGTTACAATAAATTGCAAGTTGCTTTGAATTTTGTGGGGAAAAATGTTGATTTGTACCTGCAACAGTTTGACAAAGTTTTCTTAAACAATTTATGAATGGTGTCTTACATATCTAGAAGGAGACAGTAAGCTGATACATAATAATAAGTGCAGCTAATTTGAGACAAGATAAGTGAGAAAAACAAGAATAACTTACGTAGTCTATATATCTCATGATTTTATTATCTTTGTAAAAGATAATTAATTCATCTTTTTAAATAGCATTGTCTATGTAAAACAAGATTGCCAAGAGATTTACGGGATGTGTTGGGGCAGAGCATAACAAATTTTCAGTTCTGCTTTCGTTGAGAAGCCACGTCCCACAGGGCTGTAATTAGTCCTTACATCAAGGTAAGGTACAAATGCTTATTCGCTATCATTAGAATTATTAGACCTGCAAGAATTTTCTGAAGAGCACAGAATGAGAAAATGCCTGTAATTTTGCTACTGGGGAATGTGTTTTCGGCATAAAGGAGCAGATGCTTTAAATACTTGTCACTGTAGAATCTGTCTTTGCAACAAGTTCTGAGGATTGCAAACTCTTAGTTTTGACCCATGCTGAGCCAGTCAGAGTTCTTCCTTTGAGCTGCTTCTATGCCTTTTTTACATGCCAGATTAATATAAAGGAAAACAACATATGAATTTCTAGTATTTTAACTATTCTCCTCTGCTTGGAAGCTTAAAGCACACCCCCTGTGCAGATGAACTGCAAATTTTTTGGCTGACTATGGCCATTTTCTTGAGTGAAGGTTCATTAGGTTCCCACAGGAGTGGAATGGTACAGTGAAAAAAGAGTTATTTATCTCAGTACCATTTTGTGTATGAAAGATTTGGTTAGGTGTTAAAAAATTAGACTGTATACACAGTCCTTAATTCTGGTCTTAAACTGTAATAGGAAACAGAGATGGGCAATTTGGTGTTCTCACCAGCAAAAGCCAACAAGCCTTTTGATAGATTAATGTAAAACTCACACAAGGAACCATTTTTTTTTTCACACCTGGTATGAGGTCTGGCTACAAAAGACTGTTCTATGGTTAATAGCACATGGAGAACCTTTAATTGCACAAAGAGATAGTAGTAAATGTAGCTGACTGTTATTGGTACAATAACAAATTACTGTGAATCAAAAGGTCCAATTTTAACAAATTTAAAAAAAAAATAGTTACCTTAATTTTTAGGTGCCTAACCTAAGATTCTACCTGTATGTATATTGCCTGTACCACAGCAGGACCCAGTGTAGCTTGCTTTCAACATGATGCCTCTGTCTCCATAGTCATGGTAGATGGGTATGATTCTGTTGTGAGCCTTCAGTTCAGAAGGCAGTCTGAGCTCACACAGCTGATAGATACCAACTGCCCTTGCAGCAGCCTCTGCCAAAGCCCTTCTGCAAAGGAATCCATGAGTAATTTGCTTCTTTGACATTAACCACAGGGTGCTGCTGAATGATGGCTTTTCTGATCTACCTACACAGTGCTTGGTCTGGAGGACAGGCAGAGCCTTGTTTGTTATCCAGCCTAAGCCCATTACTTTCAGTCTGGCAGCACAGTTTGGCTGCATCTTAGAAGTAGGAAGGGCTTAACTCTCACTCTCAATGTGCTTCTAGGCTCACCTACAGCCTACACTGAGACCTTGCAGCATTCATTGAGGATGTGAGGGAAATGAAAACTTCTGTCAAGGCTTAAAATGTGTTAATGCAATTCTGAAAAATGGCAGAATTGATAATTAACCTTGTTGTCAAGGTAAAAGACTTTGTGAACTTGTTGATGTAAACCATTAATATAAAGTATGATATCCATATCCTGTATGGATAGGGCAAATTACACAAAATCTTCTTCCTCTGCATGGTCTGTTTTCCTAACCAGAGAAACAGAGACTTTCAGTTCAAGTATGAAGCAGATAATCTACAGTTAGATTAGTGGAAAGGAAAGCAGTGTCCCTCTGTCTTTGAATGCTAGCTATGGAAGATAGAACAGCTCCCTTCTGTGTTTCTTTCTTTAATTTTCTTGGAGCTGTGTGCTTCTTTCATTCTCTTTCACAAATGGTTGCATTCCATGTGAAGGTAAAATGTCTCCCCTAGCTGCTAACGACAGCCAAGCTCAAAGGTGAATATGACTATTGTAGGATTAATACGGCAGTGTCTTTTAAACAGTCTGTATTGATGCAGGAATCTTTTAGTCATTCCCATGGGAGGATTTGTTTTGGTAGTTGTTAACGCAGAGCTGCGAAACAGAACCACATGAACAGTTAAGGTGTATTAATCAACACTGACCCTGAAACATTTTTTAGAGATGAATAACAAAGTTTCTGTACTATCAAAACCCAGCAGGGACACTTTCTTCTAAAACAAGAAACAAGCAGCACCAAAGAAATTGCTGTGGGATTGCATTAGCTAAACTGACACAAGTCCTGTTAAACTGACATTGAAGATGTTGCATCTGAGAAGGTTAGTAAAACTGTGTGTCTAGATAACTGAACAAAAATAAAGCATGGATGTATTTTTAGGACTTATGTCTAATATATTTCTGTACAGTTTTATCTCCACAGTAAACAGAGTCATGTGTTGCACCAGAAGTGTGACAATAGTTTAAATTATTTGAAATTGGCTGTGCACATACAATCTCCTGCAGGTGCTCATTAATTTACAGTATCTTACATAGAAATATATTAAATCTCTTACCAACTTTTGCTGGTATTAGTAAAAAATCTCCATATATAAACACATCATTTAAAGCTCTTCTGTACCTAACAGCTGTCTGACCTAAATATATGGAAGTTAAAGGTACTCTAGGTGAAGGCACCCTCCAGGCATATGCCCAGAAGCATATGCACAATTCTATTGACATACAGTCAAAATAGACACCAAACCATGGTGAAA